GGGCGGGGCAACTTCTCAGATATCACATCTTTGTAATAAAGGTGAAGGCTATCTCTATATGTTGAAAGTAAAATAAAACAGGTTTTGTTTTTTTTTTTTTTTTTTTTTTTGATGACGGAGTCTCGCTCCTGTCCCGCCCAGGGGCTGGAGTGCAGTGGCACGCGATCTCGGCTCACTGCAAGCTCCACCATCCCGGGTTTACGCCATTCTCCCCGCCTCTTCGCCCACTCCGAGATAGCTGGGACACTACGGCGCCCCACCGCGCAAACGCCCGGCTAGTTTTTGATATTTTTGTAAGACCGGGGTTCCACCATGTGATGCCAGCAGGATGGTCTCGATCTCCTGACCTCGTGATCCACCCGCCTCGGCCTCCCAAAGTGCTGGGATTACAGGCTTGAGCCACCGCGCCCGGCTAAAACAGGTTTTGGTAAGTTCAAAGTGATACATAGTGATGCAAAATGATTACAGCAACCAGTTTTCTTTTATCATTAGAGAGTTAAGTTTTCCATGTGCAAATCTGAAATTAATTATGGTGACGTACAGATAATTGATATTGTTTCACTTTCCTCCCAGATGCATGGAGTCATCTCCCACATTTCTCTAGCCCTGACCTGGTTAATAAATACGCTGTAGTGGAACGTCTGAATTTTGCTTATTATTTACATCATGGACGGCCATCATTTGCATTTGGTACTTTTCTGGTCCAGGAATTAATCAAAAGCAAGACTCCCAAGCAACTGTGAGTATTTAAAATATAATTTTGGCTGGGTACAGTGGTTCACCCCTGTAATCCCAGCTCTTTGGGAAGCAGGAGTATCACCTGAGCCCAGGAGTTCAAGTAGGCAGTGAGCTATGGTCATACCACTGCACTTTAGCCTGGGTAACAGGCTCTACCACTAAAAAAAAAGTAAAATAAATTATAATTTGTATTCTAAAAAAGGGCATATCTGTAACATTTTACACATACATTGAAAAACATACTGGAAACATACCACATTTAACAGTGAATACATTTGGATGGTGATTATTGTTTTCATTTGTGCTTCCCTGTGTGTCCCAAGTTTCTGGCATTCAGTGTGTGTGATTTTTGTTAACTGGAAAAAAGATAAATATATTTTGAAAAATAATCAGATTTAAAATCATATAGGAGCTTGTCAGGTATTAGTGGTTAGAGAGGGAATTCTAAGGGAGGGAGAGCATTAGGACAAATACCTAATGCATGCGGGGATTAAAACCTAGATGACAGGTTGATAGGTGCAGCAAACTGCCATGGCACATGTATACTATGTAACCTGCATGTTCTGCACATGTACCCCAGAACTTAAGAAAAGGAATTATATGATGAGATGTGAATTCTATATTTAATGTCTTTAATAATTCATTTAATTCATTTTTATAAAGCACAGAATTGAGAGGAGCATTTACTATAATGAACAGCTAAATATAGATTTACTTTATTGGTTTGTTTTATAATTAACAAAGTAATACCTTTTTTATGGTAAAGTATTCAAGTAGTTTAGAAAGGTGAAAATGAAAGATATCCCTCAGCCTCCCATTCCACATGTTAAAAACATGGTTAATAATGTCTTGTGTGGGCTGAGCATGGTGGCTCACACCTGTAATCCCAGCACTTTGGGAGGCTGAGGTGGACAGATCACAAGGTCAGCAATTTGAGACCAGCCTGGCCAATATAGTGAAACCCCATCTCTACTAAAAATACAAAACTTAGCCAGGCATGGTGGTGGGCACCTGTAGTCCCAGCTACTCGGGAGACTGAGGCAGGAGAATCGCTTGAACCCGGGAGGCGGAGGTTGAAGTGAGCCGAGAGCACGCCACTGCACTCCAGTCTGGGCAACAGAACGAGACTCCATCTCAAAAATAATAATAATAAAAATAAATAGTAATTTATTATGTCTTTCTCAAATTTTCTATTCCTATAAAAGGCCTATCTGAGTTTTTTTAAATGTGCTTTATGATGTCAAACTTTAAGTGGCATTGATATTCTTCGTAGTTCGTATACATACTCATAATTGATAAAATCACAAGTTGGCAGTCTTTCAGAAGTTGTACTTCATGTCTTCTGGATGAAGTTGGAAGCAAGAATAATTTAGACTATGAGTAAGTGTTTCAGAAAGTCAACTTAAGGGAATGGGGGGCTCTTGTGCCAAAAGACAACTGAAAAGCTACCAGGAATCTAAATGGGTACGTGCAAGGGGCAAAAGGGAAGGGAGAGGAGGCCAGAAATCACATGGCTGGCACTCCATGTGTCACTGATTTAATTCCATTTGCTTTTCCTGGTGAGAAATAATTTTCATGTGCTGATGTGATTTTGATTCCTTTCTTTTTCAGGATCCAGCAAGTAGGCAATGAAGCCTATGTTATAGGGCTCTCCTCCTTCCACATACCTTCAGTAGGAGCTGCATGTGTTTGTTTCTTAGAATTGCTTGGCCTTGACAGCCTCAAACTCAGAGTTGATATGAAAGTGGCCAATATAATTTTGAGATACAAGTGCAGAAATGAAGATGCTCAGTACAGCTTTATCAGAGAGTCTGTAGGTACAGCACCTTTTTTTATTTGGCCTGCTTTGTTTAGAGAAGGTGTGAGTAGGTCTAAGGCATTGATTTTTGAGTGCTTGGGGAGAAAATGGCTATCTTCTTGATTTTATCCTTTTCCTGCAGAGTGTGTGTTCTTTATCTCACTTTCTTGGGCACTTTAATGGGGTTCTGAAATGGCCCTGAGCCACACTATTCAAACAGAATTGCTCAGGTTTTGACTTTTTCTCTTGACCGTATTTTGTTGTTTATATTTCTTACAGCCGAAAAACTATCTAAACTAGCTGATGGTGAAAAGGCAACCACAGAAGAATTGCTTGTTCTCTTAGAAGAAGGCACATGGAACAGCATTCAGCAACAGGAAATAAAGAGGTTTGTGAGTTGCAGTCTCAGCCTCTTTTCTAACAAGCTTATTATGCCAACCTGTATTTGCCTAGTTTTTCTTTGAACAACTCTGGTGTTTCCACTAAATCCCACTAGACCTTATCTTCTTCTTTATCTTAGCATATAGCAGATGCTCAGTAAATAAATAATGATTTTAATTGCATCTTGCCATCAGTGAAAAGAAGATGAAGACAGCAGTTCTCTCTTTAGAGATGGACTTACCAAGAGACGGAGAGCAGCTTTGTCTCTTCCACTGCCCTGCTAGTCAGAGAAGTCTTTTAAATGGTACATGTTGAAATGCCAGAAGATGTGGGTTCAGATGTCTTGGAGGATTGGAAAAAAATGAAGGAGAAGAAGAGGATGATGTGGGATGGGTCTTCTAAAATTTGACTTTAAGTAATGTCCTTAATTTTTTCTTTGTATTATGTCAGTTGATAATGGAAGCTGAAGTGACTGTACGTAAAAGCATGTCCTTACCCTTCATGCCTGTTTTTCTCTATGCTGCCCTGCTGAGGCTGACCTAACCACTCTAGACCCTGAGAAGGCACCCTTTTTCTGTATATCCTATCACTGATTCTGTTCTTGGCAGAATCCTGCTTGCAGCAGAAACGTGTACCCTCCCTCTGGTGAGGAGGCCCAGGTACCCACCAGGCCTCTGAGTACTCTAAAGTGAATAGAGCAAGAGAATTAAGTGCTCAGAAAGTTTCTTGACTGACAGCTTCCTCAGTTCTCCTAAGGATGCTACACAGCCAGTATAAATAGGTATTTGAATGATGACTTGGGGAAGGAATGAATTGTGCCAGTATGATAAGCTAGCTATTCTGCCTTATGGGTGAAAGAATCTACTTTTTTTGGTCAGGCACAGTGGTTCACACCTGTAATCCCAGCACTTTAGGAATCTGAGGCGGGCGGATCACCTGAGGTTGGGAGTTCAAGACCAGCCTGACCAACATGGAGAAACCCTGTCTCTACTAAAAATACAAAATTAGCTGGGCGTGGTGGTGCCTGCCTGTAATCCCAGCTACTCGAGAGGCTGAGACAGGAGAACTGCTTGAACCCAGCAGGCAGAGGTTGCAGTGAGCTAAGATCGCACCATTGCACTCTAGCCTAGGCAACAAGAGCGAAACTCTGTCTCAAAAAAAAAAAAGAATGAAAAAAGAATCTACTTTTCAAAGTAGCCTAATAAATATTTAGTATTTATTGGAGACTATACTGTGCTTTAATTTATATCATTTTTACTCATTTTCCAGTTCAAACTAAAGCTATATTTTAATGAGTTTTTTTGTTTTTTCTTGACCACCCCCACCTCTAATTCTAATTATAGGTTATCCAGTGAATCTAGCAGCCAGTGGGCATTAGTGGTACAGTTCTGCAGGCTACACGATATGAAACTAAGCATATCTTACCTCAGAGAATGTGCCAAAGCAAACGATTGGCTGCAGTTCATTATTCACAGCCAACTCCACAACTACCACCCAGCAGAGGTAAGCCACTAATTGTTAGCAGTCACTCAAAAGGAAATAGGAACACTTCTCAGAAGATAGCATTCTTTCTATTGTGTAGACATAGGCCTTTTTTTTTTTTTCTTGACATCCGGGATACGTACTGGATCCATGGGCTTTTGTTTCGTGTGATACTATTATTTTTCCTAAGATTTCAGTGGGTTGGCATCAGACAAGGCACTAGTCATTAGTACTGAAGAGCTGAAAAGCTTTTGTGACTTCAGATTGAATATGGAAATTCACTCAAAAGCACCATACAACTTTGTAAAATTATATAGTAGTCACTCTGACTTAGTTCAGGGTGAGAAAGCATAATTTTGTCTATACTTTTCTCTAACATTTTCAGCTCCAGTTGAAACTGAAAGTTGGGTTTTTGTTTAATCATCTGATATGCCTTCTAGGTGAAATCCCTTATCCAGTACTTCAGCCCAGTCATTCAGGACCACTTAAGGCTGGCTTTTGAGAACTTGCCCTTAGTGCCCACCTCCAAAATGGACATCAATCAAGTCTGCAATAAGTCCTCCCAGGAACTTCAGGGAAGCAAAGAAGTGATGACCGATTTATTTGAAATTCTGCTCCAATGCTCAGAGGAGCCAGACTCCTGGCACTGGCTTCTGGTTGAAGCAGTGAAACAACAGGCCCCTATCCTCAGTGTTCTGGCCTCATGTCTCCAGGTGAGGATCATGAGAAGCCTAAATTAAGTACCCAGAGAACAATAGAATAAGTGATGAGGGACAGGAAAGGCTGATAATCAGAAGTGGGATGATGATGACAGTGAGGTTCCAGCATGTGTTTCCAAGTTCACTGCAACTTTTTGTGCTTCTCTAGCTTAGGCTCTGGACCATTTAGTGTACTTGCTTGTGCCTTAACATTCAGTGAACTCAAGTGGTCAGAGCCTTGGCTCCTGGTTGGCAGTCACAGAGAAAGACGCTTTGGTGGACTGACCGCCAGTGTTTCTTTGGTGCCGCCTTTAGCAGGGAAAAGGGACATTCCAGACAGTCCTTTAATCAGCAGATCAGTGGAGGGCAATCCTACTCTCTTACGATTCGTACTTCCCTGACTTTCACATATTCCCCCTTCTGTCTGCTTCTTGGTCTTTTGACCTGCAACACTCTGCAGGACAGTTTAGAACGGTCCCTTGGTTGCTCATTAGTTTGTTTCATGTATGAAGGCTTTTCAAGCCATTTTAACTAATTAAGTTGGGTGACTTATTCTAAACAGGAAATACCCATCTGTAGCATTTGAACATTTGCCAGGTAATCCAGGCCTAGTTGTTATTTTATTTATCCCATGGCAGGGTGCCAGTGCCATTTCATGTCTCTGTGTTTGGATCATCACTTCTGTGGAGGACACTGTTGCAACTGAAGCCATGGGACGCATTCAGGACTCGATAGAGGACCATACCTGGAACCTTGAGGATCTTTCAGTCATCTGGAGAGCATTATTAACAAGACAGAAGAGCAAAACTCTCATCAGAGGTTTCCAGCTTTTCTTTAAGGTAGTGATCGTTGCTTCACTTCTTTCCAGAGCTTATGGGGTTACTTCAGCATATCCCCTCTTGGCTTTTTCTTATTTCCATCCTTGCATTTTTTTTAGCCAACAGCAGATGATGATGATGATATTAGAAGTACCATTTACTGGCAGGGCACGGTGGCTCATGCCTGTAATCTCAGCACTTTGGGAGGCTGAGGCGGGCGGATCACTTGAGGTCAGGAGTTTTAGACCAGCCTGTCCAACATGGTGAAACCCTGTCTCTACTAAAAATACAAAACTTAGCCGGGCATGGTGGCATGGGCCTGTAATCCCAACTACTCGGAAGGCTGAGGGAGGATAATTGCTTGAACCTGGGAGGTAGAGGTTGCAGTGAGCTGAGATCGTGCCACTGCACTCCTAACCCTATGTGATCAGCGCTCAAGACTTCCATCTCAAAACAAAATAAAAAAAAAATTACCTTAGCACAGTAGTTATTTATTTTATTTTACTTTATTTTACTTTTGAGACAGGGTCCTACTCTGTCACCCAGGTTGTAGTTCATTGTCATGATAAGGCTCAATCCGCCTCAACTCCAAGGCTTAGTTGATCTTCCAACTCAGCTCCCTCGGTGTGTAGGACCACAGGCACACCCACCATGCCTGGGTTTTTGTTTGTTGTTTGTTTTTGTTTTTTCTTTTGGTGATTTTTAGGTAGAGACGGAGTTTCACATGTGACCAGGCTGTCTTGAACCCTGGGGGGAAACCCCTTTTTTTTTCAGACGATCCTCTCCTACCTCATCTTCACCAAGCATCTGGGATACAAGCATGTAGTGTCCACCACACCTGACCCAAGGTGTGGTTGGTTTTTTTTGTTTTTTTTCTTGTGTTTGTTTTTGTGAGACAGGCAGTCTCACTCTGTCGCTATCTCAGGCTGGGAGTCCCAGTGCAGATTCTCGGCTCACTGCACCTCTGCCTCCCGGGTTCAAGCAGTTCTCTCTGCCTCAGCCTCCAAGGTAGCTGGGGACTACAGGCACGTCCACCCATGTCCCGGCTAATTCTTGTTATTTAGGTAGGAGAGGGTCACCCAGAAGCTGGCCAGGCTGTTCTCAATCTCCTGACCTTGTGATCCACCCACCTCAGCCTCCCACAGTGCTGGGATTACAGGTATGTGCCACTGTGCCCAGCCTCAGGGTGCTTTTTATACATTATTTTAGTGAGTTTTCACAATAATCCTATGTGAAAATAATATTAGATATTATGGACCAGACATGGTGGCTCACACCTGTAATCCCAGCACTTTGGGAGGCCAAGGCAGGCAGATCATTTGAGGCCAGAAATTTGAGACCAGCCTGGCCAACATGGCAAAACCCCGTCTCTACTAAAAATACCAAAAAAAAAAAAAAAAAATCCGGGCGTGGTGGGATGCACCTGTAAACGCAGCTACTTGGGAGGCCGAGGCATGAGAATCACTTGAACCCGCGAGGCGGAAGTTGCAGTGAGCCAAGATCGCGCCACTGCACTCCAGCCTGGGTGACAGAGCAAGACCGTGTCTCAAAAAAAAAAAAGATATTATGAAGTGATATTGCCCTCATTTTACACACTAATAAATCAAGGCTCACGAAACTTAAGTAACCTACCCAAGGTCTCAAAATACTTTAGTAAGTGGTGTATTTACAGTTCAGAGCCATACTTTCTAATTCAGAACTCCTATTATCTGACTGAGCGACTCCCACTGACAACAATAAAATGTATGAATCAGTGCCACAGGCAACAATAGGTAAGGTGGGTCAGTAGAGCTGATTATCCAGGTATGTGTGTTTAAAATGTTATGCCTGGGTATGCTGGCGCACACCTGTAATGTCAGCACTTTGGGAGGCCTAGGTGGATGGATCAGTTGAGTCCAAGAGTTCAAGATCAGCCTGGGCAACACGGCAAACCCCATCTCTACAAAAAATACAAAAATTAGCCTGGCATGGTGGCACGTACCTCTAGTCCCACCTACTCTAGAAGCTGAGGTGGATCACCTGAGGTCAAGGCTGTAGTGAGTGAGCTGTGATCATGCCACTGCACTCTAGCCTGGGTGACAGAATGAGGCTGTGTCTCAAAAAAATAATAAATTAAAAAAATAATAAAGGTGTCATAGCACCATCTGGTGGAATGCTTCCTGCCCGTGTGCAGTGGGCCAAGTATAGAATAGACAGAGAATGCCAGGCGCAGTGGCTCACGCCTGTAATCCCAGCATTTTGGGAGGCAGAGGCGGGTGGATCACCTGAGGTCCAGAGTTCGAGACCAGCCTGACCAACATGGAGAAACCCCGTCTCTACTAAAAATACAAAATTAGCCGGGCGTGGCGGCACATGCCTGTAATCCCAGCTACTCCGGAGGCTGAGGCATGGCTTGAACCTGGGAGGTGGAGGTTGCGGTGAGCTGAGATTGCGCTATTGCACTCCAGCCTGGGTAACAAGAACGAAACTCCATCTCAAAAAGAATAGACAGAATGGATTGTTGAGTAGGTGTAACTGGCCTGAGTATCATTTTTCCAAAAGGAAAATATATTTAACTTTCTTTTTAACGTACGTGATTTAATCTGTGAAGCTATTGCTAATAGCCTTTTTTTTTTTTTTTTTTTTGAGGCAGAGTCTTGCTCTGTTGCCCAGGCTGGAGTGCGGTGATGTGATCATAGCTACAGCTTCGACCTCCAGGTCTCAAGTGATCCTCCCTCACTTGTAGCTGGGACTATAGGCACATGCCACCACACTTGGCTAATTTTTTTTATTTATTTATTTATTGAGACAGTCTCACTCTGTCGCCCAGGATGGAATGCAGGGGCACAGTCTTGGCTCATTGCAACCTCCACCTCCCAGGTTCAAGTGATTCTCATGCCTCAGCCTCTGGAGTAGCTGGGATTGCAGGCATGCATCACCATGCCTGGCTGCTTTTTTATATTTTAAGTAGAGATGGAGTTTCATCATGTTGGCCAAAGTGGTCTCGAACTCCTGGCCTCAGGCGATCCCACTGCCTCAGCCTCCCAAAGTGCTGGCATTACAGGCAAGAGCCACCATGCCCTGCCTTATTAATAGCATATTTAACATTCTCTTATTTGGCATTATTCATTGAAAAAATATTGAGTTCAAAATTTTGTAATTTTTTTCGAACTCTTTGTCAAAGGATTCCCCATTACTATTGGTGATGGAGATGTATGAACTGTGTATGTTCTTCAAGAATTATAAAGAAGCTGAAGCTAAACTTCTGGAGTTTCAGGAGAGCCTTGAAATAGTAAGTTGGAATTATGGTGCTCTTTCTTACTGATCTGAACTTGGTTGGCATGCATGGCCTTTTTTTGTTTTTGTTTAAAGACTTGGTCTCACTCAGTTACTCAGGCACACCGCTATGATCACAGCTCACTGCAGCCTCGAACTCCTAGGCTCAAGGGATCCTCCTACCTCAGCCTCCCAAGTAGCATGGCTAATTTTTAATCTTTTTTTTTTTTTTCTTTTTTGAGACACTGTCTGGCTCTGTCACCCAGGCTGGAGTGCGGTGGCATGATCTCGGCTCACTATAACTTCTGCCTGCCAGGTTCAAGCGATTCTCCTGCCTCAGCCTCCCGAGTAGCTGGGATTACAGGTGTCCACCACCACACCCAGCTAATATTTTTTGGTTTTAGTAGAGATGGGGTTTCACCATGTTGGTCAGGCTGGTCTTGAACTCCTGACCTCAAGTAATCCACCTGCCTCAGCCTCCTGAAGTGCTGGGATTACAGGTATGAGCCACTGCACCCAATCATTTTTAATATTGTTTTTATAGGGAAGAAGTCTTGCTTTGTTGCCCAGGCTGGTTTGGAACTCCTTGCCTCAAGCAGTCTTCCGGCCTTGGCCTCTCAAAGTGTTGGAATTACAGACATGAACCACCATGTCCGGCCACATTGGTCTTCACTGTAATAAAGATTTGAAAGTTACATATTTGAAAATACCAAATCAGTTATTTGAATATGCCTAGGATTCTGAAACCACAGAAAATAGGCACATTAATTTCCTTAGTCTGTTTCTTCCTATGGCTCGTTGGATACCTCCCAGGTATCTTATTCTTGCCTGACCAGCTTAACTAGTTCCATCATCTGCTGACATTAGTTCCTTTTCTTAGAACCACAGAGTTAAGTATACAAGTAATTAAAGACTAAGGACTAATGCCCTAATCCCAGCTAATTTTAACAAGGACGCTCAGGAGGATAAAGAATCAAGAAGAGCAATATTTTTTTAAAAAGAATAGAACTTTTGTTCTTCTAAACATCAAAATCCAGTCAGAATGGTTTTAGAAAACATTCAGGAACAGTGTCTAAGCAGGAATAGTAGCAATTTAGTGAGCTGACTACCAGTGTTCTTTCTCATAATAATTCCCTTAAACACTTTGCATTAAGGGAGATGCTGCAAAAGCAAAATGATCTTTGTACTTACCAGTAGGTAAGTCCTATTGGAATTTAAGAGAGGAGGATGAGAAATGTACAGGGAGGACCACATAGGGCATAGGAGAGAGAGTAGAGAAGGAAATTCATTCCAGATAGGGGTAAGAAGATAGCAGTAATGTGACATATGATTTTATAAACCATTCCTTAATTTAAGATCTTGGCAGTCTTGAGAATTCCATTGAAGGGAATATTGTCTTCTAAAACTTACATCACAGCCAAAAAGCCCTGCATATTAAACTTACCTTCAGAGTGACTTTTATAGTATGTTCAGAAGTACACAGGAAGTATTCAGCCAAGACTAGGGCCTAACTCAGCACTAGGCACAGAGGTACTGAATTATAAGCTTTTGGTGCCTATTAATATATACATTTTTTGAAACCCAGCAGTTAAGTTTCTATTCCACCAAAATGCCCAGTATTTTGGGGGGTTATGTTGTACGAAGTCTAGAGTGAACTACAAAACTGTAGTGACTGAGAACTAAATATTAGTCTTCCAAAAATAATATGAAGCAAGAGCCAAAGTAAAAATCAGGAATGAAGTCACAAAACAAGCATCTGTCAAGCACAGTCATCATACCTGTAATCCCAGCACTTAGGGAGGCAGAGGCGGGAGAATGGCTTGAGGCCAGGAGTTTGACCAGCCTGGGCAACATAGTGAGACCCTGTTCTTCACCAACACAAAGGAAAGAAAAACAACAGCAGCAGCCGCAGCAGGTAAGAAAGCAGCACTCCTCTGATATCAGCCTTTTCCTGCAGCATCCTAGAAGACATTTTTTGCCACACCTACTTGTAGAAATGCAGCCTGCCACTTGAATTCATCTTCCTATTAATATTTTTAGCATTCAGTTGAAATGATGTAAATCCAAGCTTCTTAACTGAGACCATTCTCCAACAAGAATAAACTATAAGCAAAATGGTAGAACTAGCGAAGTAATGTTAGGCAAGTCTTTCTGAGTGGTTTTTATAATGTGAATTTAAAATCCTCTGGATTCAAGGGCAGGCCTACATCCCTCTTTAAAGAAGCTACTAGGCCAGGCATGGTGGCTCATGCCTGTAATCCCAGCACTTTGGGAGGCCAAGGCAGGTGGATCATCAGGTCAGGAGTTCGAGACCAGCCTGACCAACATGGTGAAACCCTGTCTCTATTAAAAATACAAAAATATCAGCCGGGTGTGGTGGCGTGCACCTGTAATCCCAGCTCCTCGGGAGGCTGAGGCAGGAGAATCACTTGAACCCAGGAGGCAGAGGTTACAGTGAGCCAAGATTGCACCACTATACTCCAGCCTGGGCAGCAGAGCAAGACTCCGTCTCAAAAAAATAAAATAAAAATAAAGAGGCTGCTAAGTGAGACGTCTGATTAATTTCACAGCAACTCAGAGGGCTATTAAGTTGACAGTCACTAAGTAGGAATATTTTACATTAACTCTGTAGTTAGCATTCAGTCTTTAGGACTCCTGCCCATCTTTTTCACACATGCAGCTCTATACCAGAACTTTCCACAAAGAGACAATGTGCAAAGCTGCTGAGGAGGGCTTGTTTTTGCCAGTCCTCTGAGCCCCATTACCAGTTCCTGCCATTTGGAAAGGAACTGAGTAAGCACCCCCGCTTTATGACAGGCAATAGCTTTTGAGGGAATTTTAGCTTCCTTAGAGGTTCCCAAATTTGGAGGTTTTGATTTGCTATTCTCATGAAACTCCTTTCCCTAAGCCTCTCTTTTTCTTTTATAGCTTAACACAGCAGCCACAAAGGTCCACCCTGTCATCCCTGCTATGTGGCTGGAGGATCAGGTGTGTTTCCTTTTGAAGCTTATGCTACAGCAGTGTAAGACCCCATATGAGCTGGGGAAGCTTTTACAGCTCTTTGTTGAAAGAGAGCATCTCTTCTCTGATGGTAAGACAGTCTTTACAGTTAAGTTGCTATTAAGAAGTTAGCTTCCTTAATCTTGAAAATACTTTAGAGGGGTAGTTAGGAAATTAAAATGCATGTAACATTAACTTACAGTGTGCAACTGGGGGTAAAGAAGTTACAGAGAACTTTAAATTGTGGTTAAAATAGTCAAGAAATAATACAACAGCATAAAACATAAATAATATCCAATCATCTCATTCTAAGCAGTTACCAAATAGCCACATTTCTTCCTGGCTGGCTTCTACATTACCCTGTTGCGGGGGTCCAACCCACAGACCCTGACCTAGTGATGGACCAAGACGTACACTGACTGAGATACTTGGCCTGTCAGTCCGGCTAAGGGGCTCTGCTCTGAGTCTGGAGCATTGCCTCATAAGCTGGCAAAGTTCGCATTTATTTAGTACAGATTAAATGGCAAAGGTTTCAAGTAAACACCATTAGATGGTAATTAACATTGCCGATAGTAGAGAGCAATTATGCATCTGCGGTTGATCAATGGTTGGTCTTAGGACCACATGAGTAAACAAGCTATTTAGATAAACTTCCCCACATTCCCTTGTTACTAGCTTTTTTGCTATCAACTAAAGGTAAAAAGGCTGCCTTCAGCCATATCTGTCACTGAAGCTGTGCAGACTGCCTGGCCTTCCAAGAAGGTTTGTGTTTATTTATTTCCTATAACTATTATATAATTTTTCTTATATTAATATATAATTATCCTTATATAATATTTTCTATAACTATCTATTATAATTTTCCTCTACAATTTTTCCCACCACCCTGACTGAACTCCCACACCCTGTCACTATCTTCTCTATGGCAAGTAACCTTAGCATTGCTCAGGGTCATAAACCCTACTTCAGAAATGCACAATTCATTTTTAAAGTTTCAGAGACAAATTGTGCTTTTTTTTTTTTTTTTTTTGTTTTCTTGAGACATTGGCAGTCTCTAAACTTGTTGCTGATTGAATCAAACAAATATTGCTTTATTATCTTTTCCACTTGTTTGATAATTTCAAGTTTTTACTGAATGATATTTTGTTCTTTTATACTATATTCTGACAGTTTGGCTACTAGGGTTATTTTCTCACATTTAAACTCACAGATATTCAACTGGAGAGCTCAGATTTGCACAGAACACTGACAGAATCCTGAGCTCAGAGCCAGTTGTTGCAGGCTGTGGATCTGATGACTAAGAGGAAAAAGGGGTTTTTCCGAAATGTAATGGATGTAAGATGGTACTTATCAGTTACTATGCAGACCAAAAATAAGTCCTTTTAACATATAGGTGTTTTCATTGATCTGTAGTAATTATAATTTTTTTCAAAAAATGAATTTCCTGTTGTTTGCCATAGTCTATCTTTGAATAATTAGAAGGATCTACTACATTGTTAAACATGACTATAATACTTTTATTCTATAATTTTTCCGATTTTTAGAAACTGTTACTATGTGTGGATATTTAACATTTATTTGCTTAGAGAACAGGAATATGTTCTTTTTTTTTTTTTTGAGACAGAGTCTGGCTCTGTTACCCAAGCTGGAGTGCAGTAGCACGTCCTCAGCTCACTGCAACCTCTGCCTCCCAGGCTCAAGCGATCCTCCCACCTCCACCTCCTGAGTAGCTGGGATTACAGGCACACACCACCACACCTGGCTAATTTTTGTATTTTTTGTTAGAAATGGGGTTTTGCCATGTTGCCCAGGCTAGTCCCAAGCTCCTGAGCTCAAGCACTCCTCACACCTCGGCCTCCCAAAGTGCTGGGATTACAAGCATGAACCACTGTGCCCAGCCGGGAATATGTTCTTTAAAAACCTGTGTTTCATATGATGCCAGCAAAACTCAACATGCCTGTGTTAGTGGTTATTGTGCAGGATGTCTCACTGTCCCCAGAACTACCTAAATCAGACTGCTGCCCAGCAGGTGGCATTGGAAATAGCCTCCTGTGGAATGTTTCTCATGCCCCTCTCTTATGGTAGGACATACATAGATTCTACTTAGACTGTTTGGGAAAGGGCGCAAACCCAGCCACATAAATTGTTGGCAGAGAATTCTTTGTTTTTGTTTAATAGAGACAAAGGTCTTACCATGTTGCACAGGCTGGTCTTGAACTCCTGGCCTCAAGCGATCCCTCTTGCCTTGGTCTCCCAAAGTGCTGGGATTATAAGCGTGAGCCACTGCACCTGGCCAAGAATTCTTAGTGTTACTAATAATTTCCAAGGGATATCAGGAGGAGCTCAATTAGGTCTCCCTGGGGTAAGTAGATAAATTTTAGAGGTGCAAGTGATGCTCATTCTGAATACAGTGTGCCACATTAGAGCCTAGGCTACTGGCCAGCTGGAGATTTAACTGTCCTACAAGTTCTCTGTCTTGATCCACATGATTCCTGCATTGAATGAACAAATGACCACTAAGTCAGACAAATTTGATCACGGTAGGAGATAAATCCAGAAAGAGACTAGCCTGAATGACCAAAATCTTCCCAAGGTTACTGTGTTTCTGCTACATTGAAGGCCACCAACCTCTGCCCTGTGTATAAAGCCAGATATGTAGATTGAGGTCATGTGCTAATCTCTACCTTTTTTTTTTTTTTTTTTTCTTTTTTTGAGACAGAGTCACTCTGTTGCCCAGGCTAGAGTACAATGGCATCATCTCAGCTCACTGCAACCTCTGCCTCCCAGGTTAAAGTGATTCTCCTGCCTCAGCCTCTCGTGTAGCTGGGATTACAGGCGTGTGCCACCACAGTGGGTTAATTTTTGTATTTTTAGTATATACAGGGTTGCACCGTATTGGTCAGGCTGGTCTTTTCTGACCTCAAGTGATCCACCCACTTCTGCCTCCCAAAGTGCTGGGATTATAGGGATGAGCCACTGCGCCCAGCCATTAATCTCTAACACTTCATACTATATGACAAGCAAGTACAAGTACAGTCAGACTTTACCACTAACAATTTTTCTGGACCATTTTTTTTTGGTGTCCTTGGTACGCAGGAGCTACCTTATGGCTTCCTCTGCTAGTCAGCCAGAGTAGAAAAATAGCTTTTTTTGGCCGGGCACAGTTGAGAGCAGCCTGGACAACATGGTGAAATCCCATCTCTACTAAAAGTACAAAAATTAGCCAGATGTGGTGGTGCACGCCTGTAGTCCCCACTACTCAGGAGGCCGAGGCAGGAGGATCCCTCGAACCCAGGAGGTGGAGGTTGCCGTGAGCCAAGATCACACCACTGCATTCCAGCCTGGGTGACAGTGAGACTCCATCTCAAAAAAACAGAAAACTCGCTTTTTATTTTTCCTTTAACCACATTACTATGTTAAACATGTATATTTTCACCCGATATTGCATTACTCTTGAAATGCTGTAGTGGCATTTTATTGACTAAATGTTTATATCCTCTTCTCTTTGCCACAGGTCCAGATGTGAAAAAGCTGTATGTCCTTTGCCAAATTTTGAAGGATACATCCATAGCCATTAATCATATAATTATTACCTGCTACAGCATTGAGAATTTTCAGCATGAATGTAAATCTATTTTGGAAAGACTGCAGACAGACGGACAGTTCGCTTTGGCCAGGAGGGTAGCAGAATTAGCTGAGCTACCTGTGGACAACTTGGTTATTAAAGAGGTATCATTGGTCTTTTAAGTTATTTAAAATCTTAACTTTTAAAATCAGCATTAAACAGTAAATCAAATGAGATATATAATTTATAGGAGATAAGGCTTTTTTTACTTTTGACACACACATTACTTTCAGAAATGGATGAGCCTACAATGCCCATTATTGAGAAATGTGTACTGCAAATGCAACATTAGTTTGTAGGATATGCTACAACTATTTTCCTTTGAATAGAATTAAATATAAGGGGGCTTCCACTTAAACCCCATTCCATGAGATCAATCAAGAATTGTTTTTCGCCGGGCGCGGTGGCTCAAGCCTGTAATCCCAGCACTTTGGGAGGCCGAGACGGGCGGATCACGAGGTCAGGAGATCGAGACCATCCTGGCTAACCCGGTGAAACCTCGTCTCTACTAAAAAAATACAAAAAACTAGCCGGGCGAGATGGCGGGCGCCTGTAGTCCCAGCAACTCGGGAGGCTGAGGCAGGAGAATGGCGTAAACCTGGGAGGCGGAGCTTGCAGTGAGCTGAGATCCGGCCACTGCACTCCAGCCTGGGCCACAGAGCCAGACTCCGTCTCAAAAAAAAAAAAAAAAAAAAAAAAGAATTGTTTTTCATACCATAACTTTCCAGATAAAATATCCAGGGTCACCTGTAGCCAAATCTCTGTTCGCTGATTTGATTTGGTTTTAACATGTATGATAACGCCAGGTGCAGTGGCTCATGCCTATAATCCCAGCACTTTGGGAGGCCAAGGCAGGAGGATTGCTTGAGCCCGGGAGTTTAAGACCAGCCTGGGCAACATAAGGAGACCCTGTCTCTACAAAAAATTAAAAATTAGCTAGGCATGGTGGCACACACCTGTGGTCCCAGCTCCCTGGGAGGCTGAGGTGGGAGGATCTCTTGTGTCCAGGAGGTTGAGGCTGCAATGTGCTGTGATCACCAGCCTGGGTGACAGACCAAGACCCTGTCTTAAAAGAAAAAAAAAACCAAACAAACAAACAAGTATGATATACTTAGGGAACATGAGCATTTATGATACTTCTTTATCCAAGAAAGGCTAAAATCTGCTTTGTTAAATTTCACAGATAACACAGGAAATGCAGACTCTAAAACACATTGAACAGTGGTCACTAAAACAAGCAAGAATTGACTTCTGGAAAAAATGCCATGAGAATTTTAAGGAACATTCAATTTCAAGCAAAGCAGCTTCTTCCTTTTTCTCAACTCAGGCCCATGTGGCATGTGAGCACCCAGCTGGATGGAGCAGCATTGAGGAACGCCATCTGCTGCTCACCTTGGCAGGGCACTGGCTTGCCCAGGAGGACGTGGTGCCCTTGGACAAGCTGGAGGAGCTGGAGAAGCAGATCTGGCTCTGCCGCATCACCCAGCACACTCTTGGAAGAAATCAGGAGGAAACAGAGCCCAAATTTTCTCGACAGATCTCAACTAGTGGTGAACTTTCCTTTGATAGTTTAGCCAGGGAGTTTTCCTTCTCCAAGTTGGCTGCTCTGAACACATCAAAATACTTAGAACTTAACAGCCTTCCATCCAAAGAGACATGCGAGAATAGACTGGATTGGAAAGAGCAGGAGTCACTAAACTTTTTGATTGGGCGCCTACTGGATGATGGCTGTGTGCATGAAGCAAGTAGAGTATGCCGGTATTTTCATTTCTATAATCGAGATGTCGCCTTGGTATTGCACTGCAGAGCACTGGCCTCAGGAGAAGCTAGTATGGAGGATCTGCACCCGGAGATCCATGCTCTCCTACAAAGTGCTGAGCTGCTTGAGGAAGAACCCGACATTCCCCTAAGGAGAGTCCACAGCAGTAAGTGAAAGAGATCAGACGGCCCAGAGTCTTAAATGGCACTGTTGGCACTGTCTCCAAGAAGGAAGGGACCCTTGTGGCAGAATAGTTATACCAAGTTAAGGGGACAACAACTTTTTTCCAGGTAATCTGTAAACTAGCCAATTAACTAGTCAATGAAATAGAAAGACCTATGTCTTTTAAACTAGCTGTGTTTCAAGTTAAAGGGAATCTATCTGATTTGTAGCTAGTTCACTGAAATTTATTCTACATATTCTATACATCTGTAAATTTAATCGTTTCCAGTCTTACATTGATAGTATATAGAAATATTTTTTTTGTTTTTCTTTTTGGGTTTTTTTGTTTGTTTTTATTGTTTTTTTCAGATGGTGTTTCACTCTTGTCGCCCAGGCTGGAGTGCAATGGTGTGGTCTCAGCTCACTGCAACCTCTGCCTCCCGGGTTCAAGTGATTCTCCTTCCTTAGCCTCCCAAGTAGCTGGGATTAGAGGTGCCCATCACCAATCCTGGCTAATTTTTGTGTTTTTAGTAGAGACTGGTTTCACCATGTTGGCCAGGCTGGTTTCAAACTCCTGACCTCAGGTGATTCGCCCACCTCACCCTCCCAAAGTGCCAAGATTACAGGCATGAGCCACCCCACCCAGCCAGAAATGTGTTCTTTATGTTAACTTTATACTGTATGACTTTGTTAAACTTGCTTATTCTAGGAGATTTCTTGTAGATTGCTCAAGATTTTCTATATGGACATTCGTGTCAGCTGCAGTATTTCTGCCTTTCCAATCTGTATGCCTTTTATTTCTTGTTCTCTCGCTTTATTGCACTGACTAGGCCTTTCAGTACTATGTTGGATAGGAGTGGTGAGAGGACATCCGTACCTTTTTACTGACCTTAAAGGGAAAATATTTGATCTTTCATCATTAAGTATGGTATTAGCTGTAGGTTTTTGAAGATAGGCTTTACCATGTTGAAAAAGTTCCCTTCTATTCCTGGTTTGCTGAGAATTTTTATCATGAATCAGTTTGAATTTAGTCATGTTATTTCTGCATCTGTTAATCTGATCATGTGGTTTTTTTTCTTTAGACTATTAATATAGTAGATTACATTAGTTGATTTTTTTAAATATTGGACCAGCCTTGAATTCCCCATTTAAATAAATCCAGTTTGGGCCTGGTGCATTATTCTTTTTGATTTTTTGCTGTAATCAATTTGCTGTTTTGTTAAAGGTTTTTACATTTATGTTCATGAGGAATGTTATTCTGTAATTTTCTTTATGGTACTGTTTTTGTTTTTGAGACGGAGTCTCACTCTGTTGCCTAGGCCAGAGTGTAGTGCGTAATCTCGGATCACTGCAACCTCCGCCTTCCAGGTTCAAGTGATTCCCCTGTCTCAGCCTCCCAAGTAGCTGGGATTACAGTTGTGTACCACCACGCTTGGCTACTTTTTGTATTTTTAGTAGAAACGGGGTTTCACCATATTGGCCAGGCTGGTCTTGAACTCCTGACCTCAAGTGGTCTGCCCACCTTGGCCTCCCAAAGTGCTGTGATTACAGGCGTGAGCCACCGTGCCCAGCCTTTTTTTTTACTGTTTGGTTTTTGTATCAAGGTAATGCTGGTTTCATGAGTTAGAAAGTATTCCCTCCTCTTTGATTCTCTGGAAAACATTGTGTAGAACTGGTGTTATTTCTTCCTTAAATGCTTAGTAGAATTTACCAGTAAAACTATCTGAGACTGGAGATTTCCATTTTGGAAGATTTTAAACCACAAATTCAGTTTCTTAAATAATTACAGGACTATTCAGGTTATCTTTCTCATCTCGGGTGAGTTTTAGCATTTTGTGATTTTCAAGGGAAACTTTTTCTTCTGCTTTTTGGGTTATTTGAACATTTTTTAGTCTTCCATTTTAATTGATTATGATTTTGACTATATCTTTGTATAGTTTAATTGGTTTTTTTAGAGATGACAATGTACATCCTTAACTTTCCACAGTATACTTAGAATCAATATTTTACCACCTCAGCTGGAATGTAGGAGGAACCTTACCACCATTTAGGTCACTTTACTCTTCTCCCTTTACATCCTACTTGCCTTTTTATTACTTCTGCATACATTGAAAACCTCATTAAACAATGAGGTTTTTGTTCTTAGCCGAAAAATATATTTTAATAAACCCACCTCGGCCTCCCAAAGTGTTGGGGTTACAGGCGTGAGCCACTACGCCTAGCCTCTTTTTTTTTTTTTTTTTTTTTTTTGTGAAATAATCAGTTTTTCATCATCTGAGAATGTCTCTATCTTACCTTCATTCCTAAAGGATGTTTTGCTGGATATAGAAAATTAGTTATTTTCAGGCCAGGTGCAGTGGCTCACACCTGTAATTCCAGCACTTTGGGAGGCTAAGGCAGGCAGATCAGTTGAGCTCAGGAGTTCAAGACCAGCCTGGGCAACATGGCAAAACCCCGTCTCTACAAAAAATACAAAAATTAGCCAGGTGTGGTGGCGCATGCCTACAGTCCCAGCTACTTGAGGGGCTAAGGCACGAGGATCGCTTGAGCCCAGGAGGATAAGGCTGCAATGAACCGTGTTCATGCCACTGCACTCCAGCCTGGGCAACATAGTGAGAACCTGTCTCAAAAAATAAATAAGAAAATTAGTTGTTTTCTTTCAGCACTTGAAAATGTTGTTCACTTCCTTTTGGCCTCCATGGTGTCTGATGAAAAATCTGCAGTCAATTGAATCATTGTTCATCTATATAAATAGTGCTTATTTCTCTGGTAGCTGTCAGTGTTTTTTTCTGTTGTTGGTCTTCAGCAGTTTGATTATATTGTAACTGGATATGTATTTCTTTGGCTTTATTCATATATTTGGGGTTTACTGAGCTTCTTGAATATGTAGGTTTATGTGTTTCACCAAACTTGGGTAGTGATCAGCCATAATTTTTTTTAATATTTTTATTTTCTCAGCACTATACCCTATCTCCTCTCCTTCTGGAACTTCAAATATATGAATATATAATTTTTGTTATTATCTCATAATTCCTTGAAGTTTTGTTCAGTTTTTGTTTGTGTGTTTGTTTGTTTTTGAGACGGAGTCTCACTTTGTTGCCAGGCTGGAGTGCAGTGGCGCGATCTTGGCTCGCTGCAACCTCTGCCTCCCAGGTTCAAGTGATTCTCCTGCTTCAGCCTCCCAAGTAGCTGGGACTACAGGCACACGTCACCACACCCAGCTAAGTTTTGTATTTTTAGTACAGATAAGGTTTCACCATGTCGGCCAGGGTGGCCTCAATTTCTTGACCTCGTGATATGCCTGCTTCGGCCTCCCAAACTGCTGGGATTACAGGCGTGAGCCTCCACACCTGGCCAGTTCAGTTTTTTTAAAACTTTTTTTCTCTCTGTTGTTTAGATTGGATAATTTCTGTTATTGAATTTTATTTCTATGATTTTAAAATTTCAGTTACAGCCATGTATTAACAATGAGGATACATTCTGAGAAATGCATTGTTGAGTGATTTCATCACTGTGCAAACATCTTAGAGCATACTTATACAAACCTAGGTGGTATAGACTTCTACACACCTATGCCAAATGGTGTATAGCCTATCATTCCTGGGCTACAAGCCAGTACAGCATGCTACTGTACTGTAGTTGATTATAACATAATGGTAAGTATTTGTGTATCTAGACATATCTAAACATAGAAAAGGTACAGTAAAAAATATGATATAAAGATTTTTTAGCTTCAGGAAATAAACAATTGGAGATTTTCATTTAAATTTTTTTTTTTTTTTTTTTTGAGACTGAGTCTGTCGC